GCGCGGAGGGGACGAGCCCCGCGGGCGGCCCCGGGTGGCCCCGCGCTGCCCTGGAGCTGCCGGCGGTGTTCCGGGCCGGGCCTCCTTCCGCGGGAGTTCCTCTCACGGGCGGGGCGCGGCGATTATTTTTATATACGTCATTGTTTATGTTTTTTATTATATTTATATCCTTTAAGGAAGGTATAACACAACAATTTTGGGTTTGTAATGCAGAGAGGGGCAGCCTGCTTGGAGGGGCTTCCTCAGGGCCATGGATGTTTTCTGTATTTAAGTTTCTTCTTTCCTTGAGGAAGTTCTGTGGGAGGGAGCTTGGGGCAGCAGCCGTGCTCCGGCCTTGGGTCCTGCTGTTGCAGGGAGCAGCCGCTGCTGCTGTCACTGCTGATAACTCCCCACTTCCTCCCCAACTCGTGTTGCCCGGTGAGGAGAAAAAGGGATAGTGAAGGAGAAGGGGAAAGAGGAGGGTGTCCTTGAAGTGGCTGGGCATGCCAAACTGGAAGAGCAGCTCCTGTCTGCTTTGCATGTGGAGTTAAAAAGATTTGGGGTTGTGGATTACCAATGTTTTTAAACTTCCCTCCCTCCTTTTTTTTTTTCTTTGTTCTTGCCTGTATTTCCAGACATGGATGACGATGGCAACAGCAGCAGTCTTGAGGTATAACATACTTCACTTTATTCACTTATTTATTCGTTTTCTGTTAATATTTCCAGAGTTTGAAAGCTAATTTACCCAGTATAATAACGTTTGGCTGATAGTTTTAGGGACAGTATTTTTATATTGTTAAGAGTCTCCCCTGATGCTTTATCCTTCCAAAACTTTGAAAATTTGTTCCAGTTTTTGTGTGTTTTTTGTTTTATTTTACTTACATTTGGATGGCTTGCAATTATTTTTTTTCCATATCCTAAGCTTTTAATTTAAGTATTTTTTGCTTCAACAATACATATGTAGCCTCAACAGAGATGAACTGCAGAATGTGGGAGAAGACAAGAGCTACTTGTCAGTAATCACAGATGAGACTCGTAGTCCACCAAGTCATGTAGCGCTTTTGGCAGTGCGCAACCATAAGGCCTGTGATAAGAAATTGTTTTTCTAAAAGCTAAAATACATATGCAGCAGACTTGCATGTAGGCTGAAGGTGTTTTGTTAAAATGCGGTATCTCTGGTTGAAAGGTAGACATGTGGACTGATGTGCTTATAAACTGCAGGGAAGTCTGACGTTTTAGGCAGTGCTAATTTTAAGGCCATGCTCTTTGCGCTGCCAAGCGCTTTCTACTCCTCCCTACAGGGAGTATGCCTCACTGCTTGCCTTTGCGATATGAAGTTGTTAAGTTCTTGGCAGAGCTGCTTGTTGTTTTGTGCTTGGTACCCTGCATGAGAATTAGTTAGGTAACTATGTATTAATTACCGTGAGAACCTTCTAACACAAAATTAAAAATTCTGAGCTATTTTGAATGGTAGTTTTCCTGGGAAAAGCACATATTTGAATGTACACACTCTTAGCATATTATTGCTTATTTTTTTCTGATGCAGCAAATGTCTTTTCAGGGTTGTTTAGTGAGTTTTTTTTTTTTTGTGGAGTGTTTGGGATTTGTTAAGGGTATGTAAGGGATTCAAAAGTCCTTGAATTTGCGTGCCGACTGTACCTCTGTAAAGGAACATGAGGGATCTGTTCTGCAAACTCAGGCCGATGAGGCTTTGCAGGGCGTGCGATACAGCGGTGATTTCGTAACGTGCTGTCCTGTTGTGTCCCGGGCTTCTGCGAGGTCACAGCCTGTCTGCTCGCGTTCTGTTCCGTGTGTTTATGGTCACTGCGCTTTGCTTCTCCTGGAGGTATGTGTCTGTCGTTTGAAATGAGAACCTGCAGAGCTCCGTCACCACCGTGCCAGTAGGAGTGTGGGTGGCCCCAAATACTGGGGCAAGTCCCTTAAAAGACTCATTTCATCTTTTGTGGAGGTCTAAGTTTCTTCCTTTCCTTACCTCCTGTTTCTGTGGCGTGAGGCTTGTGTGTCCTTTATCTTCTTGCTTGTTTCTTCCCCCTGCCCCCAATATAACAACAAGGTGACTGCCAGTTGGTAACTGACAGTCCTCTTTTCCTTATTATTATACAAATCAGTTGATCTCAAATAATTGAACTGTGCTTATCCCTGGCATAGTCAAGGGAGGGTATGTTAAGTGTCCACATTAGACTTTGACAAGGAACAGCGAGTTCTTGGTATGAATGTTTTCACTTGCTGATAACAAGTGTTAATTTTTTTCTTTGCACTGCAGTATTTGGGCCTACTCCAATCCCACTAGGTAATAATCCATCATTAATTGTGATAGAATTATGTTGACTAATGTTGGGAGGATACCTTGCTAACGCATCCTGTTAAAATGACCTAAGAAAATGGGCTTTTTGTATACTTAAAGACAATGATCCACTCTGTTGACTGGTCAAGCAGGAATTTGTTTGCACTGTAGAACCAGGAGGAACTTCATGAGAGCGCCTAGTCTTGTGACTCCTGGGGTGCAGTATTTTTCCTTTCGGTCGCAAAACTAAATTAAGATGTCACCCAGACTTGAGCTCATATGTAAGGTTGGAGCTTTTTCCTTATAGGCATAATTTTCTGTTTTATTTTGAATTTCATTTGCCATTTTATTGCTTATTAGTCTCATACAGTGTTTTACATTCTGCTCTTATAGCATAGAATGATCAAGAAAAAAACATTTTTGGTCCCATTTCTAGATTATTTAGGAATTTGTTAAATAACACTGAAGCCAGTACAGATATCTCCATTAATGATGCCTACATACTGCATATGTTGTGTTTGCAATGTAGACTATAGTTGGAAGAATACGACAAAGTGACATTGTGTGTTCCAGACTATACTCAGGTGTTGTTTTGGAGGCTTTTTGCAATTAGGAGAATGAATTTCAGGTGCTGGAAACTAATTTCACCTCACTTTCTGTGCTAGGCTGTGTTACCAGCAGGTGGAACACGAATTCTTCAGTTTGTAGAAGACAGAATACAGACCACTATGGTAAGCTGAATCAGCCAAGAGAAAAGCTGCAGGTGTGCCAGTAGTGTGACGCTTTTTGTTAAGTCCTGGGAACTTAAGTCCAGGGATGTTCCAAGTCTGAGTAGACTGAGAGCTTGTTTGATTCTTCACTAGTGCTGCACAGGGGGCAGGAGCTAATTCCTATAGTTTCATTGTGTGCATCCATTTGACCATTTTGCAAATTTCACGGGGGAAAAAGCCTGCATGTTCTGTCTGCTTGAGTTTAGGAAGGAGGCACTGATATGTTTTACACTTAAACTTGTTGTCCTTCCATATAACGTTTCAGTTATAATCAGTGTTTATGAATGTGTTTGACATTCAGATATTTTACTGAGCTAGGTGTTCTATCCCCACTCCCTCCCCCCCCCTCAAAAAAAAAAAAAAAAATTAACTTTAAAGGCTTCCCCCCCTTTTTTTTTTCCTCTCTCTCCATAAATTCTCTTCACAGCTGACTGGAATTGCAATTGGAGCTGCAGTAGCCATCTTCCTTATAGGAATTGTAGTATTTCTTGTTTACAGAAGAGTGAAACAATCTAGTAAGTACGTTTTTAAAAAATGCTTTTATTGGTGGATCATTTTCCTTTAGTGTGTTCTTAATATTATGTGGTAGACTGTGGTCCCAGGTGTGAACATAGTTGTTCATGGAGAAAAACTGTTTTAAAGGGATAAAGGACTTGGACTGCTTCACTTCTACAGAGCTAGCTGTAGAATTCCTATCTGTCGTGCAAGGCATTAGAGGTTTTGTGATAACCTTAATCTTACTTGATATGTAAATAATTTCAAGCCTGATGCGATTTCACTATTGAAATCATAGGAAGCAGATAAATTGGAGCTCTCCTTTTGGGAGATACAAAGATCAGTTCATTTTATCTATTTAGGGTGCTTTTTTTATTACCCCTCCTAGGGATTGAGTAGAGCCTCAAGCCTATTTATTCCCTAGCCTAGCTTGGCTAACCAGAGTTGGGAAATCCGGTATTAATTTAGCTTTCAGACTCTGAGTGTGCTATCTTGCTTCTTAGGAGCCATAAGCTGGAATTATGATGAGGTGGAAGAGTTGATATTGCTGCGCTTGCTCCTTAATGTAAAGCTGCAGGTGGTTTCTGATATGCCTCTTCTGATATGCCTCTGTTCTTCTGATTTCTGGTTTCTGATATGCCTCTGTTCTTCTAGAACAACTGCAACCGCATGTGCCCCAGTACCGATTTCGTAAGAGAGACAAAGTGATGTTCTATGGGCGGAAGATCATGAGAAAAGTAAGAGCACTTGGCTTTGGGGAGGGAAGTAAAGATCCAAATCCAGTCTGGAAAGCATTGTGAATGTTCAAGTACTTCACCTGCTTAGTCCAGCCCAGGACTTTTAGCCTATTAAATTTTACTGGAATTCTGGGAATGTTTCAGGACTCCCTGGAATTTTGCATGGTTTGCTAATGGGAACAGCAGTAGCTTTAGAATCAAATTGGACCCACGCAGAAATAGATTTTTAAAGGGCTCTTTCAGGTTAATTCTTCAAGATTCTTTGGTATATATATCTTTCCCTGGTGAGTAACTTTATTTTGTTAGTCACATCTAGCCGAGGAGTCATTTTCTCTTCTGAACTACCACAGCAGGTATCAGCTGCAGGGAGTTCAGGTAAGTAGACTTACTAATTAGGAAGGAAATGATTCCCTTAACCTGGCATTTACAATGCAGATTGGGCTTCATGTAGAAGGTAGCCAAACAAAAGTCCATGTGAAAGTCCAAAATTCATTAGTGTTAAGTGTTTTTATTTGTTGTTTGTTTGTTTTTAAATATAACACATAAAAGATCCTTAAAATTCCATATGGTAAAGTTATTTAAGCTTTTTTGTTTGTTTGGGGGATTTAGACCTCAGTTTCTAGTTTTATTCCCAAATGAGATAGAGAATATTACAAAATAAACTGTCCTTTGTGTATTATTGGTAAAATATCAAGCTTTCACTTAATGATTAAAAAAAAGGCATGATGGGAACAAACAAGTTTCCAAATTAAATAAAAAGCTAAAAAGACTTTTCTGTGTGTATGAGGGAAGTTTTCCTGGGGTTCAATTCCCACAAGGAGAACTAGTGATGGTTTGGAATGTTTTCTTGGTTTTGCAGTTGTTGCATTGCTCCAGGAGGTGGCAGTCAGCTACCCTGAAAAACAAATGAAAGGCTTCGTTGCTGCAAGTTGTCACCAACTCAAAAGTGACTCTGGCCCTGCTTGTTAGCTTACCAGAATATCATAGGACTGCTGATGCATTCAGTATTACTTATGTGTCTAATGCTCTGTGCTCTTGAGTGAGAACTGTATAGTCAAGTTTTTTTTTTTTTTTTGGTTGGTTGCTTTTGTTTTGTTTTTCTTCCAGTCATCCATTACCACTGTAATAGTTACTTATCAAAATGACAGTATTCGTTCTTAAAAGAAAGAGATCCTGCAGCAGGTGTTAGTCTTCCAGAGTCTTATGTAAGTGTGTCACTTTGCTCATGTTCTGAAGGCTTGGTTTATAAGTGGCATCCTCTGTAGGATCTGAACTCATGTTCTGTATCTATCTATGTTTATACTTAATTATTTTTGTTTTCCTTATCTCTTCCTAGGTTACAACTCTTCCAAACTCCCTGGTTGGGAATACTGTGCCTCGCCAAAGGATGAGGAAACGGGCAAAAGTTTTATCATTGGCTAAAAGGTACTTGGGCTTCTAGGGAGAGAAGGATTTATGCCATGGAGGCTGCAGTATGAGATATTTCAGGAGATACTGGAAACTCTGTGTTTTTTCTCTGGTGTGGAGCCTCTCTCTTGTACAGCTCTTCTTGGTTGCTGTTTTTACAGTCATTTGAATGGCCAGCTGTGCATCAGGCTAGTGTTTTGTTGGGAAATTTGCTGGAATAGAGGGGGTACCCACCCAGTGCTGCCTGTAGTTTTGTTAAAGACAGACAGGTCAGGAGCAGTGACAGAGTGGGCTGCTGCTGTTGGATCTGTTTGATAACGTGTAACATGCTATGGCATGTGTTTAATGTTGCAGTCTGCCTGTGGTGTCAGCATGAAGCCTGTTAGCACTGAAAGGAATAGAGTTCCAGATCCTTCTGATTTCTGTTTATTTTTTCTTCCTAGGATTCTGCGTATTAAGAAGGAGTGTCCAACACTGCAGCCAAAAGAACCACCTCCTTCTCTGCTAGAGGCAGACCTCACTGAATTTGATGTGAAGAATTCCCATTTGCCATCAGAAGTGCTGTATATGCTTAAAAACGTTAGGTAATGTTAAATGGGAAGTTGAGCTTGAAGTTTGGTTTTAACGGGTGTTCAAATGATATAAACACTTGATAGTTTATATAAAGTGTTGAGTTTTATCCATTGTGTGGTCAGTCTCTTCAAGCAGTTGGCTGAAAGTTTGTTTGAGGGTAAGGAGAGAATAAATCTAACTTAACTTTCTAAAAACATTATGAAATAAAGAGAAAGGTAGTATCCAAACTTGGAGATAATTATGATAAATCTGTTCCAGTTAGAAAAGCTTTATGTTAATGCATTCTTAAAAATTCCCTTTAGACTGTATTAGGCTTATTTTTGATACAAAAAGGCACTGTAATTGGCAAATGCTAATTGAATACTAAACTGGCAACTCCCTAATTGCAGCTTTTTTTTTCTCTCTCATCTAAAAAAATACAAAAGGAGTCAAAGTCAACTTAATCCTTAATAATAGGGGATGGTCTTTGTGCCCATTCAGTCAAGGGTTGTGTTGATTACATAGGGAAGAAAATGAGATTTCTTTCCAGCTCTTTAGTTTTGGTTTTGTTTGTTTTCAGCTGTTTTTCTTATGATCTAGTTTAGTCCTGAAGGTCATAATCGTTGTCTGCTTGGTCATCTAATAAAATTGCTATTTAAGTCACCTAAACTTTCCACAGTGTAATTACAATTTTCTATAACTAATTGATGTTGCAGTAAAATTTGAATAATGGATACTGTTAATGAGCTAATGGAGTGGTATCAAGGGCCCTTCTTGTGCTGTGCACTGAAGGATACAGGTGTTTTGTCTGTCTGGTGGTGACTAATTGCCATTACCGCAGGAGCCTGCTTGAATGTTGCCTCCAGAAGACAGAGTATCCAAACGTAAATACATTCAGATGTGGGGTTTTTTTTTCCTATTGTTTTCAGCATCTCTTATGTTCTGGTTACATTGACAGGATAGCTGTACTAAAAGGGAAGGGTTTAAAAGGTGACTTTTTCATAAAATGCGTGAATCTTTTGCAGGTTTTTACATTTTGTCCCCTTCAAAAGCCACTCTAGTGTGTGTTTGGAGGGTACTGAATATGGTTCCTTCTGAGTCTGCTGGTGTTCCCCAGAGTGCTGTTCAAAGCAGAGCCCCAGTGTTGATCATTTTTGGTGTTTTGCAGTACTTCTGCCTCGGGAGTTCTACCCCTTCTGTGGTGCCACTGGGCTCCATGCTACAAATATGTGCTGTTTGTACCTGGAGGTCTGCTAATTTATGAAGGCTGTTGAAAGGACAGTGATAGTCTTAAGTTCCTCTCTGCAGAAGAGAGAAGAAGGTTAATATTTTGCTTTCCTTTCCACAGGGTTCTTGGTCACTTTGAGAAGCCCCTTTTTCTGGAGCTGTGTAAGCACATGTTTTTTGTACAGTTGCATGAAGGTGAATACATCTTCCGTCCTGGGCAGCTGGATAACAGCATCTATGTTGTGCAGGATGGCAAGCTGGAAGTTTGCATACAAGAAAGTGTAAGAATAAACTGAATTGTAATTCTTGAACTACATCTGTTGGCATAGGGCATAGGCTGGCATTAATCATTAAACTTTGATTAAGTTTAAGCAATTGAATCATACCGTGCTTTGGAGGAGGCTGCTTCCAACCATTCAGGGCCATAGTGTTTATTAAAGTCAAGGTTTTTACTGTGATTCCCCATGTCTTAAATGAGTGAGCTAAAGGCAACTCAGACATTCTCAGATATCCTCATAGTGGTTGCTTGGGTGATAGTTATATAAAACAGGTATATAAAGCAGGATAGTGGCAGCGGGAGGCATCAAAAATACTCCACCCCCAAATATTTTAACTGATATTCAGGAGAATTCTCCTAGGAGATGGAAGATTCAGAATCACTTTGGGTTAGATAGGGCAAAGAAATGACAGCTTGTGTCACTGGTGAGTCCTAAAATGTTGGATGTCAAAAAATCCCTTCTAATTGTCATTAGTTTCCTAATAACTAATTGGTGAGGAAGCTAAAGTTTCCTCCTCGTCCTTTCCTGACAGAAATATTTCAGCACAGCTTTAAAATGTGAACAGTTTTTTAATGTATGAGAAAGCTGTTTATTTTGTTTGGAAATTATCCCAATTTTGCTGATTTCTATATGCTTTTGGATTCATCTATTCTTCATAGATTGTACTGACTGGCACCATGTATCATCTCTCAACAAAAGCAACTAATTCTGTGTCAGAATAGAGTGGAGTTTTTTGTTCTGTTTTTTAAGAAAAATTAAAAAACAAAAACCAAAAACCCAAGCAGGTCACGTCTACCCCTAGATAAAACTGGCTTTTGGTTTCATTTGTCGCTCCCTGAACTGCTTTAGGTGTCCTTGAAGGTCTTGTGTTTTTGCTTCTGTCACTTAAAACTGCAATTTAAAACCTTGGCATTGTGGTGGACCACCTCCATCACAGCAGAGGGAAAACTAAGGTCTCGCTCTCATGAGGGACCATCTCTGTTAGCTCCATTCAGGCTCTAGGAGCACAAGAGCAAGCTGGGCTTTCAGAAATACTCCACATGTACCTGATAGGTTTGTGTCTGTAGTAACCTTCTCTCCTCTGCTTGCAGGATGGCACAGAAGTGGTTGTTAAGGAGGTGCTGGCGGGAGACAGTGTCCACAGCCTTCTCAGCATCCTTGACGTTATCACGGTACGTTCTGAACATACAGGTTTTCTGCGGGGCTGCAGGTTCAGTCACCCTGAACTAACCTCAGGCTTGGCATGTTGCTACGAAAGAATCTTAACGGGAAATGTTCCTTTGATGGGACTTTCTCTTCCTTCTGGGCCTTCACAGCTGTTAACTTAACTCTGTAGTAAGTAAATTGGTTGGAAACATATAGACTTGAGAGTGTAACACAAGCTATTTCTTAACAATGTCTCTGGTAAGTGATGGGGTTAGATTGTTCTTTTGTGGCTGGAAAAATGAGGTACAGTTTGATTTATTCAAGGTCATATAGGAATCAAGAGAAAGACCAGGCTAAGACCCAGGGTTCCTGGCTTTTAGACCATTTGCCTTATTACTAATGAATTTATTTGTATCAGTCCTAATTACAATCATATGAATCATCAGATTTGTTTTAATCATACTGTGGAACAAGCTGATGGATTTCATATAATACTATAATGTTGCCAGTGGCCATCTGATGGTTGTGCTCTCTGGCAGGCAACAAAATGAGCTAAGTGCTGCCTGGTCATAGACTATTGATTTGTACAGTAAGTATATATTTCAGTTGAAATTCAAATGACTGTTCAAAATGTCACTGCATTTTTTTAGAAATTGAAGGTAGCAAACGCGTCATATTCGATAATACACAGGCATTTGAGTGTTTGCTTGAATGTTTTCGATAGCTGAAAAGATGAATAAAATGTAAGTGATAAACTGTTCTTGTTTGACCTTGTAGCATGTTTCTCATGCTTCTCAATTCCATTTTGTTAAAAGATTCCCTTATTCTAGTCATAATGATTCTGTTACATGTTCTTTGCCACTTTTAGATGCAACTATACATATATATATATATGGAAATCAGATACACTTTATATATTATATAAAAACCTATTGAAAGCCATATACAATTTTTAAGCTCAGTCATGCTTTCTTCTGTAGAAAGTAATGGCGCACGAATAACTTAGGTCTGTGCAAGCGTGGTACCTGCTGTCAAGTTTATATTAATAGCAGAATTAGAAGGATCTTTGCCCTTTCACTAGTAGGTTTTTTTTAATGGCTGCATTACATCCTATTTTGTCTTGTATTGGAAGAGTTCCCTTAGATGTATTTAAATACAAAGATACCTGATCTAATAGGAGATGTTTAGTCTGCATTTCGCTGTTTGGGGAAACAGATAAATACTGCCTTCTCAAAACTCACAGGATAAAGTTTCAAATTCAGCTATTTGTTAGCCCTTTCATGATATTTTAGAATATGTGATATAATCAACATGCCTTTGAGTCGATACTGCTTTAAATTTTAAAGAAGTCTCTAAGTTGCTGGAATCTGACAGCGTGTTTTCTGCAGTTGTTGCTGAGTGCTCCCTTTTTCCCTGTGCTTTTCCATGTGTACAGTCAAATCTATTCCTTGAATGAAGAATATTCATCCTGAGTTAAATGGGACCAACCGAGACTGCCTTTGATGATGATCACTAGAGCTTTGGGTTGTAATATTCTCTTGCCTTTCAAACGGAGATGGTATTTGGAAACCTTGGAGCAGGTGGGATAGTTGGAAGGACAAGGAAGAGCCTGGAAGGGGTACTGAGCCCTTTGGGCTTAGTTGATCAAGTGCCTTTAAAAGACAGTGGAGAAGATGGACGGGGGAGGTTGTAAAGGAGCAAGCGATTATTGCAAGAACGTTGAGTTTACAGCCATATGTGTCAGCGCAGTGTGGAGGAAGAGGACCCCCAAGTAACAAGAATAGGGAGGATGTACCACATTTTAGGGAACAGAAAAGAGTTGCCACTTCAAATAGGAGAGTGCAAGACAGCTGTGTCTCTTGTAGCAGATTCCTTGGGCAAATTTGTTTGGATTTGGCCCTTGGCTGTCACCTGCATTCAGCTACGTATTTTGCTGTGACATTTGTCACCTACAGCATTTAATTACTCTGCAGGCCTTAGAACAAGGCAGAAATAAATAATTATCTGCACAGAGAACAAAAAGTTCCCCGTTGAAAACGCAAGTTCAGTAGCTTAACTTCCTCGTGACATCAGTGTGTGATTGCCAAACAACGAATTCAAGCACAGTGTTCTCCGTGCTGCTCATCGCATTATGTTTGAGATAACAGGCAATTACGGGTACATTTCCTCTCTCTGTTTCTCTGACAGCTTTTAGCATGTGCCAAGCCAATGACACATGTTGGTTTGCTCTTTCAAAAGCAGGCTGCTCTCATGCAAGGATTTAAAAGAGGCAAAATTATATGCTGGAAAGTCGGAGGGATGGGCTGTTCTTTGGCGGGGGGGCGAGGGGGAGAAAAAGCTGCTACGTTATTATCTGTTATTATCCTTAAGCTGACTTTCTGTGAGACTGTCAGCATTGGTCTTTCTCAAATAAGCATTGTTGGCAGGAGGAAAAAAAAAAAGGCTCTGAATAGAGTGCAGAGCATATAGATGGGATGTACAATGCTTATTTTGCTCTTTTGAATAAATATTATGGAAATCAATGCTTACTTGGTGTTTAGCAATTAAAGATCCATTAAATCTCTTTAATGTTTCATTGTGTGTTTGCTATAGAGATTGGTAGAAGATAAAGTTGATGGAAACATATATCATATATGTTTTTAAAGATAGAGTGTATATATATTCTTCTGCGTTTGAATACATAGAGAATTCCAAAGGACTTCTGGGTTTAAAGTCTGACTTTAATTAGACTTATAAAAGAAGGACGTTGTGTTTATTTTACATACAGCAGAGGATGGAAAAACCATGTGTTAATTTCTTTACTCAATTAAAAGAATCTCGGGAAAATTGAGGACACTTTTCTGATCTAGATTACAGGTCAAAGAGGCGTAAAATTTCAAATCTCCCTGCAACTTGAAAATCCAAGCTATTAATATCATCCCTGGGCTTTATAAAAAGGTCAGCTGAAGTTGATGTAATCAGGATATTGGTTTCAGTTAATTTAATTTTATTTCTAGAGTCTGCTTCATCCTGGCTCCTTGATCAGCAGGGCTGGCAGGACTGTAGTTTTTTTTCCATCGTGGTGGCAGTGGTATAAAATGAGTCTTGTTTGGTGTTGGTGCATCAGTCAGGCAGCAGTTCTTTGCACTAGTGATGCCATTCAGCTCTTTAATGCTCTAGATGACTTACAGGTTGTTTCTTTTACAGTCAGCACTTTGTATTGGTAAGTTTGGTGTTTGAAGAACTTGCTTCCTGATGCGCAGGAGGAAAATCGTGTTTAAAAAAAAAATTATTTGTTATATATTGTTTTTGATATTTCTCCTGGTTTATGAGTCTAGGATTGTTATTGCAGCAAATAACTTGGTTGTATGTGCAGGTAATAAAATCAGCAAAACTGCGACAGAGGTGACAGACTAGCCAGTTCCTCTTAACCCAATACACCTTCTTGTAGCTCTTATTTCCCTCCGTTCCTGTTTAATGCCAGTGAAGTTGCCTCTGTGAATTCATCTGACCACACTGCCCTCATTACACCATCGGTAGGTCATGGAGTATAAGTTCAAGGCCCTTTGTGGTCAGATGCTGTATATCAAACACACAGAATAGCCACGCAGAAATTTGGGAAGCCATTAGGAAGAACTGGTGCTGGTAATCAGTGGCATCAACTTGTCTCAAATTTTCTGCTAGGGTCATCCTGCTCCCTATAAAACCGTCTCGGCCCGGGCAGCCGTTCCCTCCACAATATTGCGACTTCCAGCAAGTGCCTTTCAAGACGTCTTCCAGAAATATCCTGAAACTCTTGTTAGAGTTGTACAGGTAAGCTTTGTTGGTAAATATATATTTAGGCCTCAATTTATCAACTTCAATTTATGCTGTCTTAAGCTGAAGCACGTGTTTTTGTGCAGTGTCACTGGTGCATGACTGTACCTAAATGCAAGCATGAACACTAAATCCATTCCTCTTGTCTCTCCATTGCCCTTTTCAGATCATCATGGTAAGGCTGCAGAGAGTGACATTCCTGGCATTGCACAACTACCTTGGTCTGACTACGGAGCTCTTCAACTGTGTAAGTTTGGGGTCCCTTTTATTTGCTATTACTTTGCTGCCTGTCCATGACTTGCCCCAGAGGTGTTGCTTGTTTCAGGTGGTCACAAGCATGAATGCAAGTAGAGCAAATGTTGCACGTTAAAGATGACAGTACTTGAGAGAGAGAGAGAGAGCACTTGTTATAAGCAGTCCCTAAAAATCTAGTCTACATGGTTATGTAGGGAATTGGAGGGCAGAGGAAAGAAGAAGAGGGGGAAAAAAAAAAAAAAAGCTAAAATTATGTAAATTGGAAACACCTCACTCTGCATCTCAGCAAGGCCTGATGTGCATTAGTGATGCTTGCTGCTTCCATCTGCAATAGTGCCAAGGCTGGTTGTTACACTATGTTGAGGATGTCTTTGTGATTGCAGATGTAATATCCCCACACGTCTTAAAATGAAATGATGGAGTTGGCATTATTACTTTTTTTGCTGTCTATTTTCTGACATTAATTCTCAACCTCTAAAATGTGCAAATGAGTGTCTTTGGGAGAATGAAATAGAGGCTTGTGAAAGAAAATGAACAAAAAGATAACTTGTCTGATAATGATGAAATACCAAAATGATTTCCCTACTAGGTTTTCCTGTTTGCTTATTCAGCAGATGGGCTCAGTTCATAAATTTAGAGCTTGCTTTACTTGTCTTAGGTTTTTGCAGGACTGTATTCCTGTACTTCTTGCCTCATTACCAGTGTTAAGATTTCAGTGACCGAAAACTTAATAGGTTCTTCAGATCATCTGGTCAAGAGCTATGTTCTTCCTAATGTAACTTCAGGAACTCTGCCTGCTAAATAGGAATATAGCTGTAGGGTGAGATGTGGGGTAGCAGTGCAAGAATGAGCACTTTTTTCTTCTTTTTTTATTTCCCATTTTCTATTTTATGTATGACTGGTGAAGCTCTGGCTACCAGCTCTTTAGGCTGGTAGCCTAAAGATTGCTCTAAGATATATATCTTAACTGGGGAAGTCCAGAGAGTCTACTTAGCGGGGTCACTGTAAAAGGCAACTTTCTGCATATCTGTCTTACAAAACAAGTGTGAGTGAGTGCCTGGATGTATCTTTTAGATCTTGCTTTATCGTTTTCACCTTGCTTCTTGCAGCAAAGCCAAGCCATCCCCCTGATCTCAGTGGCAAGTGTAACATCTGGAGGAAGTTCAAACAAA